TTGGAGAGCTTCTGCGTCTTGGAGTAGCAGGGCACCACCTTGCGCAGGTTGTCCAGGGCCGCGTTCAGCCCGTGCATGCGGTTGCGCTCCCGGGCATTGGCCTTCATGCGCCGCAGCTTGAATCGCTCCATGCGTGCCTTGGTCATCTTCTTCTTCTTGGGGCCCCGCCTCTTGGGCTTCTGGTCGTCGTCTTCCTCCTCCTCTTCCTCCTCCTCCTCTTCATCCAAGTCGTCCTCCTCGTCCTCCTCCTCACCGTTCCGCAGCGAGTCCTCCTCAGCCTCGGCGTGTAGACCCTCCAGGTCCTCCTCCTTCTTGTCCACCTCGTGCTCCTCGTCCTGGGAGCTGAGGCACTCGTCCGTCCAGCTCGGGGGGCCCTGTGGCTGGGGCTCGCCCATCAGCCCGCTCTCGCTGTACGACTTGGTCATGGTGAGCCTCTGCATCGCGGAGGAGACAGAAAAGAGACGTGTCAGCACCCAGAGCAGCGCTCGTGGCCCCGACCGGTCACCCGCGGGGAGAATCCTCCCGCACCCACCGCCCCGCTCCCCTCGCCCCCTCCGGAGGGAAGTTTAGATTCCCCACCGTGCCAGGGCAAACTTTTAATTGTCTCCGCGGTCCTGTCTTATAATTAAGTTCACATATGTTCAAATGCTATTATGTAACTCGCCGATATTAGCGGGGAATATAAACAGATTATGCGCGAGGGAGGTAGCTCGGGCGGCACGACGCGAGTGGACCAAGCGTAGATTGGGTTTGTTTGTTTTGTTTTGGAAAAAAAGTCAAACACTCTTAGGGAATAGGGCAGGGGGAAAGGCGGACACACGCACACACACCCGCAGGGACGGATGGCCACCCGTGACGCTTGTCCCCGCCGCTCTCCGCGGCTCCCCCTTGCCGCCTCCTTGCGCGGGGCTTGTGCCGCCCCAGCGGGCGCCGAGCACCTGCTCCCCGGTCCCGCCTTCTGCCACAGAACTATCGCTGGGTTCCCGCGGCCCCCGCCCGTGGTAACAGGTGCGAGACTGGCCCCAGTTTCCCGTCTCCGTCGTCCCCTCCGTTGCAGACGGGCATCGTCCCCGCCTTTCCACGGGGACGTTTCGTGTGGGATTGCGACCATTCACCGGTAGCATCGGGCACACCGTGAAGAAACAATGCCGCCCGCCCGCCGAGGCGCAAACCTGCGGTGGGACCGTGGCGACCACGCTCGGAGGAGGAAAGGGAGCTGGAAGTTCGGAGGCAGCATAGGTGGAAGCACATTAACACATGTAATATGCCTCTGTATAAATGCACGCACACATATATATTTATATGTGTGTACGGGCGCACATACACATTTACCCATATATGTGTATACACTTATGTATGTGTGCGTGTATGGATGGATACAGGTGTGCCCGCACACACCGGCAGCAACAATCGCAAGCGACAATAAAAAACCGAAGCCGTTCCGGCAGAGGCAGATCCCGTCCGCCTCGACCTCGAAGGGCCCTCTCCCACCCCGGCAGTCGCCGCCAACCCCTTTCCCGCGGGGGGCGAAAACCCGGGTTCCCGTTAC